AGTGTCTCCAATGAGCTTGGATGTGGATTATTCAAAGCACTGGATATCTCGGGCATGGCAAGCAGATTTCAGTTTGAATGCCAAAACTCATCTATGACCATACGGAAAAGGATTCTGAGGCAGTGTCTGGTTTTAATGAGGACATTCATTAGTGATGTACTCATGGCTATAGGAGGATTATGCTCCAAAGTCTATAACAAGTTAGCATTGGAAGAACTGTCTCAATGTTAGAGGTAGGTGTGATTTTCTAATGTTTTACTTAAGCTAATATTACAATTACATAATTTAATTTCTAAAGCCATATACCAATCAGAATGACTGGGGCATTATAAAATCATGTGTATGGAAACAAGGTTGAGATTTTAACTCTGCAATTGACAATCCATTACATATATAAAGGCCATACATGGTAATATAGATGGTAAATTCCTTGAGGACTGGACCCATGTTTCAATCATCCTAGAAGTATCTTCATATCATTGTGCAGAGCAGTTCCCCATACTTAAGAGGTACTCACTTAAATTTCACTGCATTAAATAATTGAGAGTTTTTAGGAATAATTTCCTCCTAAGGAATCAGACTACTAACCAGAGACTTCTGTCCTTTTTCAGAGGTAAGGGTGAGTGGTGAAAGGGAATTAAAACATATGCATCACCTATTATGAGCTAAGAAGATTAAGGATTATTTTACTTAATCCTAGCTTTAGTCCTTTAACTTTGGTACTATGGTCATTCCCAGTCTCTAAGTTGAGGTCCAGAGAAGTTAAATAATTTGCCCTATAAACCATAGTTGATCAGTGGTAAGGATAGTCAGTTTTGACTCCAAAGTCCATGCAGGGAAGTTCTTTCCTGTGTCATGATGAAAGCCTCACCGTTCTTCTGAAAGAATAGTAACCATGAACAGTATGGGGTAGAGGGAACAGCACTGGACTAAAACCTTTTCTTAGCATGGCTTTAGCACTGACTAGCTATGTGACCCTGGGCAAATCACTCCCCCTCTCTGGGCTTTACCTTCTTTATCTATAAAGTGACTGATATGGGCCAAAACAATCTCCTTTCCAGAACTGTCCAGCTGTAACTCTGATGGAAGAGTCAAAAACAAGTAGCTGACAGATGGTGAGGGGGCTGGAAAACAAAAGCCTACTGAATAGCATTTTCAGAAACTAGACACCTAGCCCCGGCCGGGTGGCTCAGTTGGTTAGAGCATCATCCCGTACACCAAAAGGTTATGGGTTCAATTTCCAGTCAGGGCACATACCTAGGTTGTGGGTTCCATCCTGGTCGGGGCGTGTACTATGGGAGGCAACTAATTGATGTTTCTCTCTCACATCGATGTCTGTCTGTCTGCCTGCCTCTCTCTCTCTCTCTCTCTCTCTCTCTCTCTCTCTCTCTCTTTCTCTTTCTCTCTCTTCCTCTTTCTCTAAAAATCTTTTTTAACAGCCTACTGGTATTTTCTCTTTCTCTCTCTTCCTCTTTCTCTAAAAATCAATTTTTTAAAAACCACACAAACCAGAGACCTAGTTCTGGTTCCACCAGCCCAGGTGCAAAACACCCTCAGAATCATCCTCTTTGGGACAAGTCCCTTCAGTCCCAAAGGAAAGAGGGGATCAGAACCTGATTCCTCTCGTGTGGAGCAGGCCATCGGTTGGGCCTCTTTCAGTGCCCACAGGCTATGGGCTCGTGCTCACCTGCTCCTCCTGCACAGCATCAATCCTCCCCAGGCCCAGAGTCCTGGACCTACCCATGGCCTAGTCAACATGGACCTGACCAAAAAGTCCCCCAGAATGGTGGTGGTAAACAGGGCTTGGCTCACACCAGGTTCCAAGCCTTCTTCCTATCAGTTTTCAAAAGCAAAAATCAAGGGCAGCACCAGTAGCAGCTACGGGGCACCATCAGAAACAGTGGACGGAAGGAGGGTCTGCAAACCCACCAATACAAAGGGCTCGGTATTTCTGCTGCAGCCACAGACTGGCTGATGCCAGAGGCTCCACACCCATGCCCCTCACAAGGCTTGGGCAGAAGTCTGCATTGTTGAGGATATTTTCATCAACTACTGCAGGTGCCCAAGAAACACTTCACTCTACACACACAGAATCACAGAGCTACATGGAAGGCTCAGCAGGCTGGAATTCCAGGAGCCAAGAAAATACAGAAGTTGGGGGGGAACAAATCTCTCTTGCAAGGTGGCTGGGTAGATAGAGGAGGCAGAATTGCAGACCACACCCAACACCGTGAAAGTGGAAGGAATTGAAGGAACTTGCAGCAATCCAATATTCACAATTCAGGCTTCCTGAAGTAGGAGAAGGACCCACAGCTTTCTCCATCTTGTCTTCTGAGAGGCTAACGGAATTCCTACTTGCTAGAATCAACTAATATTTAAGTTGATTAATAGTTTCTCTGTGCTGCCCCCTCCCCTTACTTCTAAAATAAAATGACAAACAAAATAGATCCAGAGACATGGAAGCATGCAACAGGCTGATGATTCTCAGAGGGAAGAGGAAGGGAGTGAGAAGAGATTCACTAAAGAATTTATATGCAGCCAAACCAGTTTGGCTCAGTGAATAGAGCGTCGGCCTGCAGACTCAGGGGTCCCAGGTTCGATTCTGGTCAAGGGCATGTACCTTGGTTGCGGGCACATCCCCAGTGGGGGGCATGCAAGAGGCAGCTGATTGATCTCTCTCATTGATGTTTCTAATTCTCTATCCTTCTCCCTTCTTCTCTGTAAAAAATCAATAAAATATATTTTTTAAAAAAGAATTTATATGCATACTAGAGGCCCAGTGCACGAATTCGTGCACGGGTGGGGTCCGGCTGGCCCGGCCCCTGATTGGGGCCCAATCAGAGCTGGGCCGGCTGTGGAAAGGGGCTGTAGGTGATTGGCCAGTGGGCCCTGCCCCCAATAGGAGTATGGGGGCCGATTGGGGGCGTGGCCAACCATGATGAGGGGTGTGAGTGGTGAGCTGGCCAGCCCCGCCCCCAAATGGGGTGTGGGGGCCGACTGGGGCCAGTGGCCTGGAGGGGCTGCAAGGTTGGCTGCTGGCCCCACCCCCTGATTGGGCAGTTTGCTGGCCACAGTGGGTGTCATAGTGACCGGTGGTTCAGGTGGTTGGCTTTTTATATAGATAGATGTGCATAACCCATAAACAGACAATAGTGTGATGAAGGCCTGGGGGAGAGGGGACAAGGTGAAGGATATCAATGGGGGTGAAAAAAAGGGACATCTGTAATACTTTCAACAATAAAGATAACATTTTAAAAAATAATAATAAAATAAAATAAAAAGGGTGTAACAGTCCCACCTGACCACAACTCAGGTTGCGGTAACATGAGGATAACATTCATGAAAGAACTTTATGAACAGTTCCAAGCAGCTCTGATGGCTGATCAGTGTAAACCTCCTGCCTCTTCTGGGTAAACAGCTCAAGTTTCCTGCTGAGAATGGGGAGCAGTGGCCTATCCAGGGGACTGGGGGGAGGAGCATGACAAGGAACGAACCCCATTCTCATGATCTCCACTACCTACAGCCACCTCCTGTCACCATCACAGTTCAGAGTGCTACCTCACACCAAGACACCACCCCCTTTTCCATGGCCAGGCCCCAGGATGGCCTGTCTGCTATTGCTTTCTCAGGACGAGGAGGTGGAGTTAGTGAATGGGTACCTGATGACCAGGATTTGATTCTCACTTCAGACACCTATGGACTGTATGAGCGTGGGCAAGTCACCTGACCTGTCTCAAAGTCAATTTCCTCACACATCAGAGTGAGTGAAATTAGAGCCTCCCACATCCCCTAACTGCATAAGAGTGCTATGAGCTCAGAAGAAAGAATGGGCATGCGAGCCCTTTGCAATTCGTTAGGCACTGTCTAAACGTGAATTAGTGGTAGTGGCCATAGTCAGACACTCTGGCGTGCCTAAAGTGACTTCCGCATGTTCACTGATAAAGCATCACATCAGTTAGGGTCAGAATATGGGAAATGATGTGAATAAACCCATTATTCAGGATCCTTGTGGGCCAGCAAATAAAAACACGGCTTACGCTCCTTTGGGAGAACTACTGAGACGGGGATCATGCAGTTAATAGTAATCTATGTTTGCAAAGCCTTTCGCTGCCTCCAAAGCCCAACATTACAGGCAACGGTGGCAGGGCCTGGGCTCCAGCCTGCTCCCTCCACCACGTGGGCAAGTGAAAGTGGCAGAAATGTTGACGTGGACCATTTGGGCTCCTCCCAACAAGGACAGTGTGTCACAGCGGCCACTCCTTGTGGGACACAAATGAAAAACCGGCTCCCGCAGGGCCAATTTTAATTGCTCTTGAAACCAGCTTGAACTTTTCTGAAAGTATGCAGCAATGCGAGCTACTTCTCAATTTCTTTTCTTTTAAATATTGTATTAATTTCAAATATTTCTAGTTCGGTTTATAATTCAGTTTTAAAAAGTGTATTCCACCAAAAAAAAAGAGATATCAACATACACATATCCATATATGTGGATGTCGAAGTATGTGTTATATTTATTTTAGTTTTAATTCAGTGTTTTAAAAAGTTCAAGGAGCCCTGGCTGGTTTGGCTCAGTGGATAGATTGTTGGCCTGCGGACTGAAGGGTCCCAGGTTCGATTCCGGTCAAGGGCATGTACCTTGGTTGTGGGTGTGCAGGAGGCAGCTGATCGATGTTTCTCTCTCATTGATGTTTCTAACTCTCTATCCCTCTCCCTTCCTCGCTGTAAAAAACCAATAAAATATATTTTTAAAAAAAGTTCAAGGAATTTAGTTAGGTTTTGAATCAAGACTCTCTTTCTGGCAGGAGTTCTGTGGGATAAATTAAGAGATACCAAGGAGGAAAAAGTTCCATGCAGGAAGTAAACCTAAAATTGGAACCCATAAATTCAGGCTCCAAGTCAGAACTACCACTTATGGTTGAGGAGAAAAAACACACACAAAGTGTCTCATCTTACGAACTGGCCCTCTATCCCCCTCCCGGGAGGACCTCTTGGCCCGTTACCTGACTCTCTCATCTTCAACCCTCTTCAGGGCTGCATCCCGCTGCAGGACCTTCATGATGGTCTCCTGCTCCTCCTCTGTCAGGAAGCTTAAGTCGATCATTTTGAAAGGCGTGTGCAAAAACAACAGTTAAAAATCCAGCTTCAGATTCTCCAAGCTAAACAACTCTGACCGGAGCCCGGATGACTAAAAGATGCAAAAGCAACATGCAATGATATCTTGCTCAGTTCTGCAGCAAATGTCCTGCTTTGGCTCAGCAAAAGTTTTAGGTGGCCAATTGCAAAATCCTAAGTGCCCCTTCCAGGGAGGCAGGAGCGGCCTGTGGGGCGACGTGGAGAAGAGGCTCTCAGTAGGAAGCTGCATTCCTTGCCAGGCAGGTCACGGGGTCCTACAGCGGCATTTCCCCTCACGCCCCTTCTCTGGACCAGTTAATTCTCCTCCAGTACTTGTCACCAGCTCGAGAGCGTCCCCAGCATCTGAGCGCCACTGACCTGGAGAATTGGGAGACAGGAAATATCAGTGCGAGGTCCTTCCTGTACGCGTTGCTCTTTACTACAAGATTTCAAACATGCCTGGGGGTGTGAGATGGTCTCTGAGATCAGGGAAACCAGTTCTGCTGGCTTCCCAAGCAAATGGCAAATGGGTCAGGAAACATGCTTCTACTCAATGCCGGACCACCTCCCCGTGTTCACGATCCACTGAGGAAAGGGATGTTGGCACCAAGGATCTGGTTCTCAAACTCATGGGACACTAGGCTAAAAAGTCACAGTAAAAGTCAGCAAGACCAGGAAGACATGACTCCAGCTGCCAAGTGACTGTGGGTAAGAGATTACAAATAAAAATTCCCAAATGCTCCCTTCCTCATGAGTAGGAATGTGCCACGGAAGGACATCTGTGTCTGTAATGACAGGAGAGCTAGGATCAGGTAGAGGTAGTTTGCAAAGCAGTGGGAATTGCCGCTCTTCACCTAGTCCTGCCCCTAACCTTTGCAGGGCCTGGAGCCACTCACCAAGCTTGTCTCCCTTCATTTCTGAGCACGAAGAACACTGACTGGTATGTGTATATAAATCGGGGGAAAGAAAGAGGAAGAATTTCAAAATACCCTACCATCCAAAGTGAGCATTTTAAAGTAGGACAACGGGCAAGAATCTGGTTTTCTCCGAGGCATCTTAAACCCATGCGCAATGGGAAGAAGGTGAGATCTGAAGAATGCCCCAACCAGCCAGGACTTCAGAGATGACCAACTCCAGGACCGAGGTTCTTTTACCAAGCGCAGTGCTGCACATACAGTGGATGCTAAAAACCAGGTGTTCAGTATGTATTAAAGTAGCCTCCCTTGGGGATAAAATGGAGTGTGTACACTAGTGAGTGGTTTCTATGAGTAGATTCTTTGTTTGGGCAACTACTGGGAGTACCCCCTCTACCACTTGTTAGCTAAGAACCATTAGGCAAGTTACCTCCTACTGTGAGGCTCTGGTTCTCTCATTGTACTTGACAATAGGACCAAACAAAATAGCACATACCTTGCATCCTGTACCAAAAAGAGCTACTAAAACTATAGTCTGGCTTCCTTTCTGAATTCACTCTTTTGTTTCATCCAGCTGAATCAGAGTGCACTTGGTTGTGTGCTTCCCTTTTCTCTTTTGAACTATGTTTGCTAGCTCTCCCATGAAGTCTGGCTTCGCGGACAGGTACTCCGAAGACCTTTGTTTTATCTTCCTGTATCTCTTTACAAAATGTCCAGAGAGACTGCTCAGATAAATAGTAAGACAATACTTCATTCTCTCTCTCTCTCGCTCTCTCTCTCTCTCTCTCTCTCTCTCTTTAACATTTTGCATGCATTTGCCTGCTATTCATCTTGAAAACTATTCATCCTTCAAGATGAAAGTCTCCACCTCCAGGAAGCCTTCCTGAACTTCCACAGCCAGAGTTAATAGCAGTCGTAGATTTGCTTATTGTTCCTAACTCTTTGTTCCCTTCCTGGCATAGAACTGCACAACCATGTTGCCCTTAGAGCGAGCAGAGTATTCATCCCTACCTGCCTGATATTGGGCTTGGCCTGTGACTTACTGTGGCCGATGGAATGTTACAAATGTGAGGTAAGCATAGGCTGTAGATGTGCTGTGTGGTCTGGCTCGGCTTCTTATACTCCAGCATATGCCACAAGAAGAGGTTGCCCCAAGTAGCTATTGCCTCTCCAGTCTGGGTGCCAGAAAGAGAGATACAAGGACAGACCAGAACCTGACCCACCTGAAGCAGGGTCACCCCAGCTGACCTGTAGCTATGGAAGTAAGAAATAAATACTTGTTGAAAGCCACTAACGTTTGGGGTTGTTACATAGTATTTTTGTTTTGTTTTGTTTTTATTTATTTTGGAGTGGAAGGGAGTGGGATAGACAGAGAGAGAGAGAGAGAGAGAGAGAGAGAGAGAGAGAGAGAGAGAGAAACATCAATGTGAGAGAAACACGTAGATTGGTTGCCTCCTTCCTGGACAACCGAATGAGGTACATGCCCTTGACTGGAAGCGAACCCGGGACCCTTCAGTCTGCGGACAGATGCTCTTCCTACTGAGCCTAACCATCCAGGACCATACTATTTTTGACTTCACAAAAACTTCTCCTCCATCTGTTTACCTCCACTGCTGTAATTATTTGTCTTCCTTTAGATGCTACCATTCGACTGCGAGTCTCTCAATACGAATAAATAAGGGAACAAGTAAATGGATGAAGGGACCTAATGCAAAGACAGAACTTCACCAGGGGCCGGCTATCTCAATTCTTCCATGCACAGTAGCTTTCTTTCATGCCCGGTAACTTCCCAAGATCTCAAAGGCTGGCAAGGAAGTGGATTTAGGCCACATTCTGGGAACCATGTCCCCGATGAGGCATTGCACTGCTCGTCCTATGGTTCAGTGGGAGATTGTTGTTAAGTTCAATGCAGGGGCGGGAGGTCAGGAAGAGAACAAAAGGGAAAAACCACTTAGGTTGTCCAGCAGTGTTAGCTGGCAGGGTGTTAAAGGGGGAAATGCTGGTTTCCACACCTTCGGGCAGAACTATAAGCAAAGCAGTGCTTCTGTGTAAAAACTTCTAAGGGTTGAATGTTTTCCTAAAAATAAGCTTTCAGTGAGACAAAGGGCAATATCTTCATTTCACAAGCGAAGGCGTGAAGGGCTGGAACCCTTGGTTCCTAACTGAGCAGCCAGGAGTCACTGCCCAGCCAGATGGCAGGAGAGCCAGCCCTCAGATGGCCATTGGGGCTCTTCAATACCAGGTGCTCCCCGATTCCCAAAATCTGGGGTGTTACCTGTCATGGGAGCTAATCAAACATTTCATCCACTTAACATGCATTTACTGAGAGCCTTTTATGTCTGGCCCTGTTCTAAACACTAAAGAAACGGCAGTTAATAAAACAGAAATAAACTTCCTGCCCTTTGCAGAGCTCACATGCTAGTTGCAGGAGACAATGTTCAAGCTAAATAACTATGGGTAGGTCTCACTGAGAAAATGACACTTGGACAAAAACTTGGGAGATGAGGAAACAAGCCACGCAGGGATCAGGGACCTGAGCGAGGAGGGTGTCTGGTGTGGTCGGGAACCCTCAAGGAGGCGAGTGCTGAACTCTCCGACGGGCCTCCTGGGAGGGAGCAGGGCCAGGAGGACAGGGCGGAGCTGGTCAGAGAGGAAACAGATCAGGCTGTGTTAGGTTCTGTATGGGCTGTAAGATCTCTGGCTTTTTCCCTGAGATAAAGCAGCCTTAGGAGAGAAAGGAGGGAAAAAAGAGAGAGAATAAATATTTACTGGCTGCTTCCTATGCGCATGGCACCTTACATACATCATCACCCCACAGGCTCCTCACAAGGTCTGGGCAGGTATTGTGTTATCTGTGGTTTTGAAACGAGGAGAGCAAGGCTCAGTAAGCTTGTGCTCGGTGGGGCTGGCATCCGCTAGTGCAGTGGTTCTCAACCTGTGGGTCGCAATCCCTTTGGCGGTCAAATGACCCTTTCACAGGGGTCGCCTAAGACCATCCTGCATATCAGATATTTACATTACGATTCATAACAGTAGCAACATTACAGTTATGAAGTAGCAACGAAAATAATTTTATGGTTGGGTCACAACATGAGGAACTGCATTTAAAGGGCCAGAAGGTTGAGAACCACTCCACTAGTGGTTCTGTCAGATTAAGCCACCCCGATGCTGACATCTCATTTAATTCCCCCTCCGCACAGATTTCTCAAACTGGGGAAGCAGGACAAAACTCTTCCGTCTGGCTGTGGGTTCTCGTTCTCTGCTTACGCATCAAAGCATCACTGGCCCACAGCTGGCGGTCAACTGAGGCGCAACCTCAGTGCAAAAACTGGGAGGAATGAATTTTGGCCACAGGGATTCCTGATGTGTTCACAGGAGTAGTGCCAGCGTGAGCAAAAAGTTGTCTTCAGGTTCAGTTCTCCCTCCCACGCCTCTTCTGCCTGCTGCTGAGGGAGTTCCCCGCCAAAAATCTGACCGAGCCACCTTCCATTCTTCAAACACTTCAGCAACTTCCCACTGCCTCAGACTAAGGCTCAGCGACCTTACCGTGGCTGGTGGGACTCAACGTGAACTGGCGCCTGCCTTCTTCCCCACGCTCCGCTCCTTAGGCCCCAGCCACACTGGGCTTTGTCAGCTCCTTTTGCCTTTAGGCCCCTGCAGAGGCTGTTCCTTCCTCCTGAAATACCCTTCGCTGAGCTAATACCTCTTCAATCCCAAGTTAGAGGTCACTTATTGTGCAAAAGCCTCCCCTAACCTCTCACGGCCAGGCTGGGTGTCCCTCCTGTGTGCTCCTTAGCACTGCCTTCCTCAGTGAGGGTGCCTCACGCTGCCACAAATCCCTGTCTACGCCTGTTTGCCCCTCACTAGCTTGTGAGCAAGGCTGGGCCTCTGAGTGCTTGCTGTCCACAGCACCCGGCCCTGTGCCTTGTTCCTACTGGGCATTCAAGTATTTAACACATGAACACAAGTCCCCTTAACAATAATAAAAAACAACAACCCAGGTCCACAGTACGCATCAAGTTCCAGCTCCAGGTCCTGTGTGTGACGGCGTGGTCTCAGTTTTCTCCCCCGGATAATGGGTCTATTCACTCCTACTTTCCCCTCCTCATTACTGTGAAGCTCTGGGGAGAATGCAGGGCACCAGCAAGGACAAATAAGGGATGAGCAGCAGTTGGAGCAGCAGCACAAAAGGGAAATTTGAGGGCTCCAAATGCAGACTGTGCTTATGTGGGTTTCCATGCGTCAGCCCTGCCATGCCACGTCGATCAAAGGCAATACTCTTCCCCTGGCCCACTGTGCAGAACTGAACCTGGAGAAAGCAACCAAGGCCCCAAACAGTTGGCACTTGCTTCTGATGGCAGCGAAGAGAAGAGCGAGGCTTGTAGCGCTAATCCCACTCTCTCTGCCTGACCAAACCCCAGATAAAGCCTGATGAGCCAACGCATGTGCTCCCCCACTCACGCTGCT